TATTTTCAGGTGTGCTTTGACTCGATTGTCTTTATTTTAAAAATTATTAATTGTGAAAGATGGTTATATGCATGGCATGCCTGAAGTATTTTCGGAAACATGAACTACTGCAGTAACTGCCATCACCATCTACTTCTTTGTATTTAGTGTGTGCTAAACTTAAATAACCATAAACTAAAATTATTGCGCACCTAATCTTGTTTGACGCCTTCAATTCGGCGAGTGACACCTTCGATTCGATTCCGTTTCTTCGATTCAACAACCACCATTTTGTTTAGATCATGGGGTTGGTACATTGTTTCAAAGAGAATATTTTCCTAAACAAACATAATACAGCGCCCAGACTTGTTTAACATTTTTAAAACGACTTCATTAGCAATTGCTTTTTTTGATGTATAAGCTACATCAACTTCAATAATCTGCATTGACTCTAACTTGTCAAAGTGTTGATACATCGACTATCTTATAGCCTAATTTGCAACGGAGTGTTGCTACATCGACTGAGGGTTTGGTTTAGGCAGGCAGTCTATTAAATAATTAAAAAAAAAAATTATATTGTATCTGTCTAGTTTCACTTAATTTCTTTTTATTTTTTTTAAATAATTTTTTCGCTTAAAAGTCTTTAAAATATGCCGCTAAATGAGCTATTTAACGGAAATAAAACATTACATCAATAGGACGATGGTTCGCAAAAAAGTTCGCATTTTACCAATGGATTTTTGCAAATTGCCGACTAAAACGTTTCACTCCTTCGCTTGTCTGTTTTTGTAGTTGATAGCCTTAAAAAGTTGATATTGCTTTAGATTTGTTTTTATGATTTACCGAGTACGTTAGAGTAAGATGGCATGGCCTGTTAATTTATTGTTATGTTAAAAGATGCGTTACAAACAAATGTCTTCTTTAAGACGTCTTAAAGAAGACATTTGTTTGGCAAAAACATTTGTACTCGTTAAAAAATTACTAGTGGTTTCTGTTGCGTGTTTAAAACTCCTGAAAACACTAAGAATATCACGTGTCAAAAATAGTTTTGATTCCGTGAAATTAACTACTACCATTTACCAAAGTACGTGTTAGAATATTAAGTTTTTACTAATGGCTTCACAATTACAAAAATGGAATATTATATTATTTAAAGTTTCCGTTACGAAACCATGAATAAAACCATACAAAACTTATCGACTAGAACTGTACAGAATTCGGAAACAGAACGTTTTTGTAAAAGCGTTTTCTTCTAAAGCATGGTTTGTAAAAGTTATTCGGAAATAAATTTTCTCTTTACATAAATTGTGATTTTACTTTACACCACATTATTTATGTCTATTATTGTCAAATATTAGTATTTATAAATACTAATATTGTTATAAACATCAACATAAAATGCGTTATATATATAACGCATTTTATGTTGGTGTTTTTAACAATATTAGTACTTATAAATACTAATATTTGACAATAATAGACACAAATAATGTGATATAAAGTAAAATCAAAATTTATGTAAAGTTTTTCAAAATTAAATTAAATTTATGTAAAAAAAAAATGTAAATTCAAAATTTATGTATATTATAATATACATAATATTATGTGTTATATGTGTTATAACCCATATAACCCATATATATATATATATATATATATATATATATATATATATATATATATATATATATATATATATATATATATATATATATATATATATATATATATATATATATATATATATATATGCCTATTCATATTTGGTATTTTTTACAACAGGGTATGTGGATTTTAATAATCAAATATTTACTGGAACGAATTCTAGACAATTTGTAAATTGTTCTACAATTTTAAAAAAGCCAATGAGCGAAAATTTAATTGCTGCTGATGAAAATAATTGTATTGAGGCTCTAGTAGCCTTTTCAGGTAAAAGTTAGTATTTTTTTCAGCGTATAATAATAATGTCACAACATCACTTGAAAATAAAAATAACCAAGATTGAAAAAACTGTCGATATGGCTGTTGGTCTTTTACAACAGCTTTTAGATAAAGGTTCAAATGTAGTTACGTTTGATCAGGTTACCTCAATGGACGACCTGATAAAATTCGAGATCCGTCTTAAAGACAATTTAATTAAAGTTAACGCGGAAATTTGAAGCAATGGGACCTGTCTGCAAAGATTCAAAAGCGCATTGCTATGCAATTTTAGATTCACTTATGACCGAGGAAGTGCAATCTAAAGTCAATGTTATGTATGGTAATCACGTGCCAAACAAAAATTATACTGACCATTTGTCATTTACACACGATTTGCCTTTGATTTTTTCTTCCATTCTAGCATCGTTAGTTTCATGGAAGGTACCAGAAAAACTTTTGAAATCCTTTTTGAGTGAAAGGTTGAAGCAAGGTATGAGAAGAGCTCATGCTGCCAAAAGAGATTAAACTGTATATTCTTTATCTTTTATATTTAGTTTTTTATTTGGTATATTTATATTGTTAATGGTAAAAAAGCTTGGAAGAAATTGAAATATAATTTAGGATTTTCTTAAAAAAATGCAAGTAAAATATAATAAAAACGATCATATTATAGTTGAAGTCAATCGAAGTTTAGAGAATTTATATATGTTGATTGGTAAAAAGTCACCAATCATTGATCAAAAATTAAAAAAAAAGTAGTTTGCATGATTGAAATCTTAGTATAAATTCCGTAGCAGGCTTTAATAAATCTTTCGTGAAGTCTACGTATTTTTGGTTTACAATTTGATCGCGTTATACACGTGTATGTTTTAGATTTAATTTCCGTATTGAAACCTCATAAGACTCGTATTTATAACCTCATAAAACCCGTGTTTAAAAAATAAAATAAACTCGTGTTTGAAACCTCAGAAAACACGTGTATAACTCCAGTTCAACTTCCCGTGAAATCCACGTGTTTTTGGTTTACGCCTGGATCGTAACAATTACGTGTTTATACGGGTTTTAATTCCGAGATTAAAACTAGATGTGCCGGCTGGGATCCTTCGGAAGGCAAATATTTAATTACTATTTAATTAATAGTAACTTAAAAATTATAATTTAAGCTTTTATTTGGTTTTTGCTATTTTACTCACATTTGAAATAAAAATATGTTCAATTTAAGATATTCACCAATGAGATATTTTCTACTAAATTATGTAGTATTTAGAATGTATAACTTATATGAGAATAGTCGCTTAGATCGCATGTGGGCTTTATTGTATATAACCGTGTGGGGATCAAATTATTATTTACCATATGAATTACACGCTGATAAAACTATGAAAAATCATATGCGTTTTTTTTACTTAAAATAAATTTTAAAACATGTTATATATTCGCGAAGTTAGATTTATTTTGTTTTATCACCACATTTTTTTGTTTTGAGATAAAACAATTTAAAAAAATAAAAACTTTAGGTGACGTCATATGAAAAGATTTTTATTACTTATGTTTTCTCCGAAACTTTTTTGATTTTAACTTTAGGTTTTAATATAGTAGAAAAATATTATTTTGAGGTACATGACACACTCAATAACTCAATTTTTTCAAAAAGTGGAGATAGAACAAAATAATTCTAACCTCGCGTATTGATGACGTGCATGAACATTTTTTAAAATAAGGGACCAAAATTTGATCGCTATAATCATTGTTGCTATTCAATATAGTATAATGAATAGCAATAATATATAACCATAACAAGTTTAAAAAACAGTTTGTTTTTATGAAAACGTTCTAAAACATTTTATATTGTTAGACATTACAACCACATATGCTTTTTTCAAACAATCCATAATATTCATCGACTCATAACAATTTATTTACATCGACTCATAAATATTTTGCCTTTATTTACATCGATTCATAAATTTTTTGGATAATCAAAAAAAAATAATTATACTTTAATAAAAATTATAGAAAACCTCAAACCTAATAATTCAAGAAAATCTAATTATTTTTAAGTAAAATTTACCATTTATATTTTACTATACACATTGTACACAAGAAAAAGCTGTCAACCTCGACTCGTTGTCGTGTTTAACAATTGAACTTCTCACGAACATTACTGATGCGAATTTTGAAAAAAGATTTGCACCTACTTACAGGATTCAGTTGACTTAAGAGCTAAAGGCTACTGGTCTTTTCAAGTTTCATCAACATGTTAAATGGTTAGTTATAAAGACAAGTAAATGACTTTACAAAGAAAAACTATCTTCAGCGACGAGGCACACTTACATCTCAGTGGATTAATTAACAAGCAGTACTGCCGCATTTCAGCAAATAAGGATCCACGAGTGACTGTTGAAATCCGATACATCTACAAAGAATGACTGTTTGGCGCGGTTTATGGGCTTGCGGCGTCATCCGGCCGTAAATCTTCAAAAATGAGGTCGGCCAAGCAGTTACAATGAACGACGTTTGCTACCGCAAAACGACAAAGGACTTCTCGTGGCCAGAAATAAGGAATATAACACGGACGTTATGTGGTTTATACAGGATGGTGCCACTTTCTACACAGCCAACGAAGCAATTGCTTTTTTACGCAAAAAATTGAATGGCGGCGTTACCTCACGTGATGGCGACGTTGATTGGCTGACACAATCACGTGATTCGACACCATTGGACTTCTTCCTTTGGTGATATTTATAAGAAAAAGTGTACGTCAATAATCCAAAAACAATTCAAAAGCTAAAGGATGAGATAATTTGGCACATTAATGGAATTGAACCAAAATGCAAAATATTTTAGAGCCATTTAAAATAAGCACCATCGGATGGAGTTATGCTATTGAAGCTGTGACGAGCATTTGGGCAATTTTTTGTTTCACACTAACTTGTCATATATCTTTCTATCATAATAAAAAATATTAGGATAATTCTCGGAAAACTTTTTTTATTTACAATGTGCATTTTGGTTAGACAACTTTTTATAAAAATTACTTGCTTTCACAAATTGTTTAATGCAAATATAAAAAATATATTTATAAAAAACAAAACTAGAAATGAATAATCATTCAGAATTCAGCAATCGTGATGTAAAAAGTCTAACAAGAATACTTTTATCTAAATTTTTACCAATAAAAATAAGTCTATTAACCGGTAAACGATCTTTTAGTTCATATTTCTCATACATGTCATAAACAGCCTGTAAAAGATAAGAACTAGACGAATTTTCCGACAAATTGACAAGCCCTTTTAGTCTAAAAATAACTATCGAACTCACTGATGTCCAAAGAAGTTCTTCTAAACAAGCATCCAAATCTCGTTCTCGAAAAACTCCATTAAATTCCAAAGTGATTGTGGATATGGTTGACTCAATATGGGGGTTTAAATTGCTATATGTAAACTTAAAATGTACGTTAGCCGAATCGTAACAGTGCAAATCGAGTACATCATTTAAATCGACTACTCCGCGCAAAGTTGGCAAAATCAAACAAGAACTGTTTACACTTTCTACATGTAACCGACAGTTTTTCAATTCATTTACCTCAATCAAGTCGATCTTATTTAATAGGATTACATCGGCAAGAGCAATCTGACGCTCAAAATCAAAGCCTTTATGGCTCACAGAGTTTTTCTCATTCTGGAAATGCTTCATACTGTACTTAGCATCAACAAGAGTAATAACACTATCTAAGTACAGATCACTGCATAACGCATCATCAAGCCAAAACATGGCTGCAATTGGGCCTATATCAACAAGAAAAATTACATTTAAAATATAACTTTTAAAAAAGCTTTCCAAAATAAAAAGGAGAATGTAAAGAAAAACGAAGTAAAATAAACCAATAAAAGTAAAGAAAAAAGTTTGATTTTAAATATTGATTCTTACCCGGATCAGCAAGCCCAGTAGTTTCTAATAAAATATAATCAAATTTCCCACGCTTTTTCATAAGATTTTCGATGGCTTTCACTCCAATATCTTTAACAGAGCAACAAAGACATCCGTTCTGCAATTCCAACCATTCTTCGTATTTGTTTCCCCCTTTGTCACTGATTGATAAAGACTTCTCTAAGGCAGACCCTGAAAAAAAAATTCAAGCAATAAATTAATTTTTGCCATAAAAAAATGCCTTAAAAAAATCTAAAAGATTTGACAAGTTTGAAGCATGTTTTAGTAATAATATTTTGTACCTTCAATCAAAATACTTTATACCTTCGCCAAATTCATTTAGAATAACGGCAATCTTTTTATTATGGTTGTTATTTAGGATATGATTAAGCAAAGTAGTTTTTCCTGCTCCTAAGAAACCAGTAATAATAGTAACGGGAATAGGCTTGTTTGGTTCAACTAGATCAGGGGCTTCGTCGTCATTTTCATCCATATTTATAAACTAGTACAAATAATCCGTTATAATAAAATAAAAAAAACATTAAATTTAATATCTGAGTATGAAATAAACTTTTACTAAGATGAATATTAGTTGAAAACTATAAAAGCGAAATAAAAACATAAAAGTAGTTGTAAAAATTTTACTATGCAAAAGCATATGTAAAAAGACGCCTAATGTTGGGAATACCATATGAATATTTCTTTTAGACATTTTACCCCTTAAATATACAAAAAGTAATAATGGAAAAAACGTTTATATATATATATATATATATATATATATATATATATAGGTAATTTAGGAAACGTTTCATGCTCAGTAATTGAATATATATATATGCATATATATATATGCATATATATATATATATATATATATATATATATATATATATATATATATATATATATATATATATATATATATATATATATATAATAAATAAAGTCACACACAAGTTTATAAATATATTTACAATGATCAATAAATACTTTTAAAAAATATTTTAATTTTAGGCGTAAAATTTATAGGTATTTAACTTTATAAAAATTTATGCAGTCATCAAAAGGTTTTGAAGTCAAATACATTGATGAACAATATTCAATAAAACGTTGGGACGAACTCTTACTACCATATGATGCAAGCATGTGTTTGGAATACGAAAGCCATGTTTGAACTTCTTGGACTAAAGAATGCACTAAATTTTCAGAAGCATCCATGGTAATAGAAGAAGAATTATACGTATTACAAAAGGAATATTCTTTGTACCAAACAGGCTTTTTAAGAACTGTAAAAAAATAAGAGAATAATGATTTATTAAAATTATAGATAATTTCTGATAAAACCCATTTTAAAACTCAAAATGTTGTTACTTTATAAAAAATTTGCACAGTGGAACAAATTATATTTTTTGTGCCAAATTTACATTTTTTAATTGTTTTATTATAACTGCTATATTTACTAGATATTGCTTGATAAACAATGCATGAATAAGTTTTAAACATGAATTTTCTTTTTTTAAAAAAAAACTTTTTTTAAAATAAAAATATTTAACGACTAAGAGAGTTGTTATTGTCATAAATACCAAAAACAATATCTTTAAACACAATTATTTGTCAAAAAATAATTTTTTCATATTTATATCTACACGATTTCGATATTATAACAGTATGAAAGGATTTTGCAGGTAATGTTTTTTTATCAACTGAACGTTGAGTGAAGATATTTAATGTTTATTTATCAATGTCATTTAATCATTGTGATAAGTTTTCAGCATGAAATGTTGGCAATGACTTGGCTATTTTGGCAGATTCTGTCCCACTGTAGTTTGCATAACTAAAATAATAAAAAATAATAGAAATTAAAACCTACCATTAGATAACACTAAATCAAAATAAAATTGATCATAATCAGCAATATTTCTGTCTTCATTAAAAGTAACTAATCTAAAAGCAGGATTATTTCGATAAACTGGTGTTATACTTGGAGCAAGAAGCATATAAGATTTCATATTTTCATCTGGGATAGGAGGAAATATTTGACTTTGATATAATAGCTTTATTTTATCTTGATGTGTGTGTCCATAAAATTGAACTAAATAAAAAAAAAAAAAATCAAAAATTAAAAAATTAAAAAATTACCATTACTGCTATTTGGTATACATTATGTTAATTGTGCATTTCTAACAGAAGTATTAAATTCTTATGTTAATGGTGTGTTTCTAATAGAAGTATTAATGGTATATTTCTGATTACTGAGTGCTTGATTACATTTTTATTTCTGCACTGAGAGCTTGATTACATTTTTATTTCTAGATTTATGTTTTAAATTGAAAATACTGCTAAAAAAAAGTTACCTCAAACACATCTTAGTAACACGCACAAATAAAATAAACTAAATTAAACGTTGAATAAGGAAGACCTCCTTAGGGTCATCATTATTCAACAGATCTTTGTTAGTTAGTTAGCCTTTAATTTGTTTTTTGCTTTGTAACCAAATTTTATTATTTTGATGTCAGTAATGCTCAATAACAACAAACAGTTTTATGCAGATTTAACCCTCGGAATTAGGAAAAATGAGGTCGGCAATAAATTGCCGATCTTAAACTCTTAGACGTTGGCATCAGGTCGGCTAAAAAAATTTAACTCAAAGAGGTTACTATAAAGCATTGAAACACCCAACACTTTTTAGGTTGGCAGTTCATGGTAAAAACAATGCTAAAAAATCTTTATCTTATAAATTAGTCACTTATTATTAGAAATTAGTTGTAGATTAGATACATTACATGTGCCACATTACAGATACATAAGATTTACAATAATTTTAAGGAACCATAAATTTTAGCAAAAACGAGACAAATTATCTGCCATGATATAGTTGAAATCAAAACTGTTGAATCAAACAACAATTTTATAGAATTCTTTTTTTTTAAAATTAAAATTCCTCACCTACCCAAGACAAAGAGGACGACTACACTCAAAAAAAACTTTTATTAAAAATATTTTATATTTTATATTTATTATTAATATTTTTTATTATATTTAGTATTTATTTTTTTGCTATGTTTACTATTTATTTATTTTTATTAAAAAAACAACTCACTCAACCCTATGACTACAAAAGAGAACCTTAAGAAGCCGCTGCGCAGAGAAACAAGTAAGTGGCTGTGATTTAAGTACTGGGGATGTGATGGGGTGTGAATTTCATACTTTTCGCTTACAAAGCTAACACACTACTACTGCACCACATTGAGGCAAGAATTTTCAATTGTCAATTCTAAAACTACAAGTTGAAAGTAAACTTAAGAAATATAGTTATAAGTATAAAATAGATAACAATATGATAACAATAACAAATATTATAAAAGCTGTCAACCTTTACACACAAATTTTCATCGTATAACTTATACTTAAGTACTATAAAATCAGAAAAATAGAAAATCAAGATTCTGTTACATTGATTAAATCAAGTGGAAAAAAGAGAAAAAAGCTAACTCAAATACCTGCAATAACATTTTTATAAATTCTTGTTGTTATATTTAAATAAATATCTGTGTAATTGCTCAACCACATATTACAATGAAGTTCATATGATGAACACCTAAATACAAAAATTTGTCTAAATATTTCAATTATAATAAATATCTAAATAATAATCTTATCATTTGTGTAGACCTTACTAACAGACTGCTTCCTTTTTAGTTTCTGTTTCCTTTAAAGACGGAGGGGGAGGAAGACTAATTACAACAGCGTTGTTTAAGAGATGACTTTTTTGCTCATTCTTGTTATATAAAAAAAATTAAAAAAGCTGTTCCTAATGTTTCCCTAACTATTTTTGGGTAAAAAAAGTCACATTAAGTTTTTACTTAAATAAAAAGTAACTTTTAAACCAGAAATAACTACCATAAATATAATTTGCTTAGCAACAACAAAAATATGGCTTCTAATACCTATTCTATCTATATAAACAAATTTAGTACAAAAGTAAGAATTTGAATGTACTAAACTTTCCTAATCATAATTGAAGGGTTCAATGGTTAATTCTGATTGTATGAGATTTTAAATCATCTATATATTACATCCATATATATCTAACTAGAATATAAACCAAGTTTGTCTATAAGACACCATAAGCAAAAACTCTTGCATTCTTATAGCAGTAATGAAAAAAATTTACATAAAAAAAAACAACAAAAGAAGAAATAGAAAAGGTTTATTTAAGAATTTAGTTTGGCTAATGTCAAGTGATTAAACTCATTGAAAATGTAGTTCCGAGGTAATAAAAATGGAAAAACATTAAACACACATTCAAATGTTGAACTCTATTCACCAAATTTTCAAGGAAAGGGAAGAATAAGAGCAATGGGAGGAAAGTTGATTAAATGATTAAATATAAAAGATTATTAACCACAAAGACAGCTTAAAGCACTTACAGAAATATTTATCTATGGTATGACTTAAGATCGAACAATGAAAGTCATGAAAAAATATATCAAAATAAAAACGTGTATCAAAAAAACAACAACTTTTAGTATAAAATTGCAGAAAGTGTATTTTCAGTTGTACAATAAAAAAGAAAATATCGAAAAAGTTTAGAGAAAAAAAATTTAGAGATAAAAAGAAGTGAAAACCTTCACAATATATCATTTTGGTTAGCATATATATAATTGAAAAAATTAATACACTATCTTCTTCAAAAAAGTGATTAATAAGAATATAAACTTCTTTAAATTGTAAAGTTGAATAAACAGTAACTGAATAAATATATTTTGTTTTAAATATATCAAACTTCTTACTTTATTATTTTTTAATAAAGTTTTCCATTTAAGTATTGTACTGTTTACATTTTTTAGTTTTTATTAAGGTGTTTATTTAAAATTTTTAAGTTTTCATTAAGGTGTTTATTTAAAATTAGCAGTTGTACTATATGTAAATATTCCATGAAATGTAAAATCTATTTTACTATATAAATGTAAAATAATCCATGAAATGTAAAACCCTATTTCAGAACACATTTTATTTGATTTAATAAAAGAATTAATTAGGTTTAATATAACAATGAAAAATATTGTTATAACATGTTTGCGGTACTTGCAAAATCTTCATTTATCATAATGAATGTTTCAGTAGTTCTTAAATCAAGAGAAGGCAAAAGACCATCATCTTCTTTCCTTCTGTATTTTTTCTTATCGCTTCCAATATTCAGAGCACCATTCCTTGATCATTGAAACTTCCTCCTTACGATCTGTTTTGTCCCTCTGTGCAATCAAGTTTGTCTCAGAGAATCTGCAAGCATTGTAACTTGTACTTTGCCTCCTAAGTCATGCTCAAAAAGCATGTCAGCATTACTCATTCCAATCTTATTAACCAAATGGCTATTACTTTTTCGCAAATCAGGCCTGTTCGCATTGCCGCCAAGCGCAAAAGAGAGTTAATGGCTGTTATTGCAATAGAGGAGAACGCGGCCTTTGCTGAATGGTTCGATGAGGACGAAATTGAAATGGAGGGCCTACATATTCCGAATGATTCAACTATTTTAGGCGAACCCGACTGCTCTATTCCAATCATATCAATTGATGATTATTTAAAAAATCCTTGGATGGATGATGGGTGAGGCAAGTTCTTATGACACACTTTGATTAAATTTAATATATAGAATAAGACTAAAATAAAAAATAATTTTTTTTTCTTTTTCAGAAAGGCAGAGGAGCAAAAACATATGTGGAAATACCTAATCAGCTCCTGAATGATATTTAAATAGAGAAAAATGTAATTCACATGTAAAAAATGTCAATAAAAATGCTTAAATTAAGAAAGGATTTATTTAAAAAATTGGGGGGGGGGGGGAATATTTTATTTAAATTCTAAAATTGTGGGGGAACTCAAAATATGATGTCCTTTTTAAGGGGGGAGGGGTATAGTAAAAAAGGACAATTGGTGACAAAGGTGGGGGGGGGGGAGGGGTTCAAAAAATGCCTAAAAAATAGTGACATCCTTTATGGATGGCCCCTAAATAAAATTGATCTAGGTAATAAACTAAAACAAAACTTCATATTTGCGCCTATAGACCTATACGAGTTTATAATATATGGAACAAACGAGTAAGATCAAAGCATAAAAACCTTAGATACCACGTCTTTTATAAATTATCGTTTCCTGATCAAGTGTACAATTAAAAATTTAAGTATAATTAAGTTTTTCATTCAAATGGTTTTTAAACTGATGTTTTCATTCAATTTTTTTTTATTCTAATTGTTTTCCAAAAAAAAGTAAAACAAAAAATTTTGTTTAATAAATCGAATTATATCAAGTATAAGAATATGCTTAAATTATTTTTTTAGAAAAAAATTTTTTCGAACAGAAGTAAAATAATTTATTAAATTTTAAATTTTTTATTTTAACTTGCAATTTGCAATCACTGCTTTGATGTTTGCAATAGAATGTTTCTACTTTTAAAACTATTTTCAAGAAAAAACATATAATTCAAAACGTTAAAAAAATTTACGATTTAAGAAAAAAAAACTTTCTTCTTTTCTCCCTTGTTTCATCAACTTTTTTTAAATTTTTAAACTTTTTTTAAATTTCAAATTTTTATCACAAAATTATTTGAATAAGTTAATTTTAAGGCTAAAGTTCTCTTGTTAAATTGATTTCTTTTTAAATAAAATTCTTGAAAACAATTGCATATTTATAGAAAATGTTTAGTTTAGATGTCGCTATAAATAAAACGAAAATATAAAAAAAATGGTGTCGCGTTTTTCATATTCTATTCAACAATTTTTGTTAAAATAATTATTAGTTAAAAGCTTATATTATGTGTTAACAACATTTAAGATCTAAATTGAAACATGTCTATGGCTAACTTTTGCGAGTATATATTGTTAAATTAATACTTGAGTAACTGTAAGATACTATCTTAACTTAACTGGTTGTTTTGATTTAGGTTATAAGTTAATTTACTCTATCCATTTAGTAAAGTTAACTAAATATAACTTCAATAGTTTCAAGGTCGTTAAAGCGAAAAACGTGAAAGCAAAAAAGTTGCTGGTTTATTTTAGCACAATTTTACCTATAGAAATTTTATTTAATAAAAACGAATTTATATATATTTTATTATACTTAAAAGTAGTAAAAATAATTATATAAAATTGTTTATAAAATAATAAATTAAATCATTATTATTAAGTTAATTTGGAGCAACATTTCTTTTAAAAAAAGATAAAAATGCTGTTTTGTTAAAGAAATAGAATGAAGAAAAAATTATTTTTAACTTGTCTTTTTAATTTGCTTCTACACAGAGATTTAAAGTAGTTTAAATTAAAAAGTACTTTACATTGAATAAAAATCTCCGCGCGAAAGAGCAAATGATCATGCTTCTATTCAAAAGCAAATGATCATGCTTCTATTCAAAAGCAAATGATCATGCTTCTATTCAAAAGACAAACTTTGCGTGACGTACTTTACTATGAAAACATTACTTTTAAGAATTGCCAAAAAAAAAGCTAAATTAAAAATAGTAAATAAACAACTAAAAAAGTAAACCAATCGCGAAAATATATGTTCTAAGAAAAAACTAATCGCGAAAATGTAAAAAGCAATCACAATTCGCAATCGCGATACGCTTAATTCGAGCCCTGATTTATTTTTTCAGTGTTTTAACTAACATATTTTTCTCCCATGTATGTAGCAATGTAATGTAAACCGCCTTTATTTAATAAATGTATTTTTGGTTAAAAATGTACTCTTTTTATTCTCTTTACTACTATGTAGATGTTATTTCTGTTTTTCAATTTTGGGATCAATCCCAGGATCCCAGGATTGATGTTTTTCAATTCCAAAACCCCAGGATTGAAAAAGACCTCCAGGATTGCAATCCCTATGTACAATAATTTTAGATGGTATTCCAGATATATTTATTTGGAATTCAAGATAAAATATGTTTTAAGTAAAGATTAAACTTGTGATGTAAAATTAAAAATAGAAGAAATAATAGAGAAGTATTGCTAAGTAGTTTTTTTCTTAACATGAAATGCTCTTAATTTAAATTTGAATGAAGTGTATGCAATAAAAATTAGCCTAGAAGTAAAAACATTTTTTCTGAATCCAAAAGTTATTTAAATTTGTTTTTTTAAAATGTATACATATCAAAAAACCTTGAAAATTTAAGTTGCTCGAAATAACTTATACTTAAATAATTTAAAATAAAATTTTAATTTTTTAAATATAAATAAAGATTTCTTAAAATCTAAATAATAAAATCTAATATCTTTTCAAAAAGCAAATAGAATATTCATAAGGCAAAAAGAAACATTTACATGTAATGCCTTAGATAACAAAAGTAATGTACCTTAAAAAGACATCTGAGGGTCTACAGATAATAACTATGTTTCATTATTATAACAGCGTATATTAAGTAGAAGTAAATATTATCCAGTTTATATTTTTAAAGGATTGTGTTACGAAAGTCTGTGTTTATTAATTTTTTCATATTTTTCTCCTCTTGCAAGATAACTAAGTTTATAATATTATAACTATTAATAATGCATTAATATATTACTGAGATTATAACACATCACTGAGATTGATATAAAAATTTTTTTTTTTAATCAAAATTGTTAAAAATTTAGTTTTTTTGCTGCAATTAGCCTCTGATCATGAGTAAATTGTTTTAAACTCAAAAACTTTTATACATTATACTATTATAAATTTATGATATTTTTTATTTTTATATTTATGTTTTATTTGTATATACATTTAATTTTTATTTTAAATCTTTCTGATTATATATATATATACATAGTTGTAATAACATGATATTGGGTAGATATGTAATCTACCCAATTTCATGGGTAGATTACATATCTACCCAGTATCAAGGGTAATATGAGCACCTTGGTAATATGAATAATACACTAAAAGATTTCTATGATGTAAACAGTGAAGTTAAATTTGCTTTGCATTTTTCGAATCAATTATATGTGGTGATAACAGGAATCAGTATACTTAGGGTAAATTTATATGCAGTAATTAGCCGCTAACATCTAATTAAAATGCTTTAATTTTTTATAAAGAATGATATCTTAACTATAAACCTATTCTATTTTTGTTTGAAAAATTTATAAAAACATTTAGTTTTGACTTTATTTAAAGAAACCATTTTTGTGTAATGGTATCTTTAAATAAGGATACCATTACACAAAATTTAAATGATAAGCTTATCATTATAATTACCTAGTTTAGAACCCTAAAGTTGCAGGACTCCAATTGCTTTTTGAATAAAAATAAAACATAGTATAAATGTTTAATATTTTAACAATACTAAATATCTTTCTGTAATTTAAATTAAAAAAATTTGTAATTTTATCATTTAAAGGTTTGAGTTAATAAAATTGAATAAATAACAAACTAATTTTTTTTTTTAAATCGTGTAAAACAAAGTAGTATTGTTTCAATAAAAAGTGGTTTAAAATTTGATTTTTTAATGATAAATTTTAAGGAATCATTATATTCTACAAAATAGTTCTAATTGTCACGTTGGTATTTTTTTTACTAAATTCATGTTATTTTTTTGAACGAATTTAAAGTAGTCATATTACCAAGTAGTCTGGGTAATATGAGCAATTTTTCTACAATTTTAAAACCTCTGTGTTTTTAAGAAAAAACTCCAGGTGCCCAAATATCTAAGTGGATCATGAGTAGTGATACCTATATGTTATTAATAAAAATTACTTAATTTTTGTTATTAATAACTAATAACATACTAAATAACAGTTAAATTTCAAAAAATTTATTTTACTAATTAAATATAAAAAAGTAAAACAATAACCCAGGTGGAATGTGTCCTGCAATTATAACTTTTTTATTTTTCAATTGAGCCTCTTTCAACTGAGTAATCAACCAACCCATTTGAATGTTTCCTATGTTGATAACATCACGATTATTTTCATATGCTTTTGTTATCCAATAGTTTGTGTTTAAAACTAGGAGTATTATGGAGGCTTCTAAATTTTTAAAAACTTTTATAATTATGGAAAACTATTTAAAACTATTTAAAATGTTAAACTTTAAAATATTTTAATTTTGATTGGAGAAAAAAAAAAAAAAAAAAAAAAAAACATCACTAAAACAGATCTATACAAATTTAAAAAGAATTTGTGTAAACTCCTAATGTAATGTTTATTTCAGAAAATATAAATTTTTTCAACTCAAACTTGAAGCTTGGATAAAAGAAAATAGCTTAGATATACAAAAATAGTTTGAGCTAGAAAGATTAGAAAAATGCATGGAGTGGGTAGAGTAAATCAAGAAAAGTAAGCAGATATTAAAATTTGAAAATATTCAGACTATTAAAAGTAAATACCTTTTATATAAACTTTATAATATCCACCAATATAAAAAGTTTCTCTGAAATCACTTTTTGCATTATTATCAACAACATCAGCACTTATAAACATAAATGACTCCATTATCTCAGCATAATTTTTATAAAAACTATCATTAACTTTAACAGGAGGCTGATAGTCATGAACAATATCATTGTTTCCTAGAAAATAAAAAATTGTAATATATATATATATATATATATATATATATATATATATATATATATATATATATATATATATATATATATATATATATATATATATATATTTAAAAATCTAATTTTAATATTTATAATTTTAGAAACTATAAAAATAATTTAGTTCAATATAATTTAGGTTAACATATTTTTTCTAAATTATTTTATTGAAGTGTCAACACTTTTGTAAGAAATATAATAGATCAACGTGGTAACGGTGTGTATAACAGAAATATAACTGATCACTGCGTATGTAATAGTGCGTATCACCATTAAGGTGAGTTTCCACTCATCCGTTTTTTTACGGGAACGGGATAGGAAAGCAGGCCTTGCGACAAAGCGTCGGGCAATGTGAATTTTACGTCGTCCAAGAGCGATTTTGCGTGTAGCTAGGGCTATTTGTGTTAAGCAAAAAATTTTTTGTTTGAGTATATTTAAAGATATTTTTGAGCGGAATTTTAATGAAGTAATTTACGATTATTTTAACATTTAATAAAGTATTTTAAAAACCGCACGCAGTTGAAATAAAAGTTTGAATTAAAAAAAATTAAATATGCTTATTATTTACAAGTAGAAAAAATTCAGATTAAAAAAAAAGTTTAAGTCTTTTTAAACTAACATTTTAATAAAATTATTCAGCAATAGCAAAGTTGTCGATAAAATTGAACAAAAATACTTTCTTTTAGTTTTAGATTTTAAACTTAAATAATTATTTTACGGGGGTTTGTTAGGTTTTAAAATTATTCCATAGATTTAAAAATATTTATTAACTGTTAGACGTATTTAAAGTATTTAAGAGTAATTTCGAGGAAACATTTTAAAAATTGGTGAGCGCAAATAAAAAAAAAAAAGGATTAATATTAAAACGTATTCTACTTGATTCAATAAAAAAGTACAGTTATTAAAATTTTTGTAAAAAGTAACTCAAAAAAATTACTTAAATAATAACGATCGCTTTTATGTTAAAAGTTAACGAAACTCAACGAAGCGTGCTCAAGAACAGCTGCTGAAAAATAAAACCTCAATAGTTTTTCGAATAATTTTTAATAATAATTTTTAAGAATAATTTTTTTGCTGAAATATTTCTTTTATACCTATAAGATTTTTATTCTAACATTTTATTTTATTTTAATAGAAATAAAATTCCTTGTTAACATTAAAAATCTATTCAAAACGTTTGTTTAAGTTTTTTATTAATACGAGTGATTGTGCTTATCAACCGCTTTATGAAAATAAATAAATAAATATTATATAAAATCGCTTGTAAAAATATTAGCTATTGCACAGTTTTTAATCGTACAATATTAAAATTTCCAGTTTATTACTCGCTGACTTTTTAAAAAGAAAAAATAATTATTTGAAAAACTTTAAATTACATATTTAAGAAAAAAAAAATCAAATATTAGCATATTTTATAATCTTTTTTAAATTTAAGTTATGTTTTTTATTCGTTTAGTATAGACAAAACGTGACAAACGTCGAGAAAATAAACAAATGTTTTTACATTTTAAAAAACAAAACATTCCAAAACATTTTTAAATAATAACATTTCTACATAAACGATTTAAAGTAGTTTTGCTGTATTTAAGTAAATTGGTGCAGTTAATGTCGATAAATATGAAAAGCAAATAAAAAGAATTTAATGACGCCAAAAACCATGTCGTGCTTATGGGTCGCGCAGTTCTTATTCATCGCAAGGCCTGGGAAAGGAAAAAATAATCACATGAGCATGCATAATAAAAGTTTTTATTTGTCCGAAAAAAAACAGTGCATGCTCACATGATTATTTTTTTGTTCCCTTTCCCTTTCCCGTAGAAAAACGGATGAGTGGAAACTCATTTTTAATGTAACAGTTATGTAACAGCACATATCACTGTAAAATTAACTGAGTAATTTATTACCAAAAACAACAAAATCAATGAGTAAAATTAAGTATATAACTATTCTTCAAAATTTTGGATTTAGTTAATTTTAATTCTGGACAGCGGATTTAATCAAAATAATAATTAGAATAATTTTTTTGTACAACTTATAAAATGTTGTCATTGCTAATTTCAAGTTTTTTTTATCATTTTTTTTTTCTTTTTTCTTTTAGCTTTTAAACTGTAAAAAATGGTTTTATGGAATTTGTAACGTTAAAATCTTATCAGTGACTGTCAATATGCAAACTTTTTTTTTTTAAACATCTTTACTTCCAACAAGGCTGCAAGCAGCCACTATTAGAGTAGGAAGTTACTGGAAGAGAAAAGATGAAGTTTATAAAACAAGATAACAATTAGCAGACGACTTGAAAGATTGCAAATTGTATAAACCAAAAAAACAGGATAAAGGGAGCATATTCCAAAGAAATCTGTTCTTTAGAAAAGGAATGTTCAAAGAAAAAACTAGACGAAAAAGACTTTTTGGAATACTTAGGAACAGTTACAGTAAAATGATGAATCTTAATTGAATGGCAAGTAACATGAGAATAAATCCTAGTAGATAGCACAAGAGATGATAGCTATTTAGAGCAGCTCCCTTATAGTATTTATAAAAAAGAGAAAGAGAAGCAACATTACGACAATGTGATAATGGTTAGAGGTTGGCTGCATGAGCAGGTCCAACTATGTTTACAATTCATTTAGAAGTACATTTGTCAGCAGGAAGACAAAAGATTTTACCCAAGGGCCATCACAATGAAAATCACGGAAAGAGTCCCAGTCAGCTTTAAGGTAATTGTATGAGGTATGATGATAGGGGATTCTGATGAACCCATGACTCATGCAATAAGTCAAGAAGATCCAGCATTTAACATCCTAAACTGGAAACCATTTATTATAAATACATCTATGTCAGCCTAATAGATGAAGAAGGGGTGTGAAGCTGGTCAACAGAATCTGTTAACCCCTTAAGTCTTTGCCTAGGAGTCCTTCTACAAGATAGTAGCTAGATGCATTTAACATCTGGCCAAGATAAGTATTTTTATCCTGACACCATCTCTAGCCTTTAATCAACCAAGAGTCCCAAGTCAGGAAGTGTTAAGTCATAGTTGGCATCTCCTAGCCTTAGCCTTAAAAAGTGTATCCTACAAGGCAGTGGTCATACAATTAAGTTTCATCATTTTACTGTGACTGTTTGAGTAAAAAAAAAAAAAAGAAATATATAAATATTAACATAAAATATAAAAAAATAAAGACTTACATAAACATCAGCTCACAATATTTTAATCATAGCAAAAATTTTACTGCATCGAGGTATTACAGTTAAATTATTTGTTTCTTGTTATTGTATTTTTTAAAATAAAAAATCTACTACATCTGAAATTTTTAAGAAATAAGTTGTTAAAAGATCTTTTTTGTTTATAGGACCCTAAATCACATTTACATCATAGATAAAAGGTTTGTTGCAGTAAGTTTACAAGTAGTTTTTTTTATAGTTTTATAACTTTTGTAGCTTGAACAGATTAAGTAACACTCAGTACTTTTAAATTACATAGTTTTTGTATTTTATATAAATATTTAAGATAAATAAACTTATCTTAAATATTTATATAAAGTATTTTAAGATTTTATCAAATTTTTTTCCTTTGCATGATAAACTAATCAAAATAGTATTAAAAGTGTGTACAAAAGGGTTTGTTACACAAGTTTATATGTGGCTTGTTTGTATTATTTCAGACATCTATTATCAACGCACTTCAATCCTTTAAATTTTAATCCATTAATTTAATGGAAAATCTGTTGGTGCAAGAACAACAGATTGATCTGTTATCTAACCTGTTATGAACAACAGATGTTTTTTTATAGTCAAGCGTGCCCCCTGACACTCATACAACAATTTACACATTCATATGCTAGGGTACATTTATATAACAAATAACATTGAGTCTCATCAGTTAAACAGCAACTTACATGTTTCAAGATATTTATTTTTGTAGGAACTAATACAGTAGAGTGGTTCTTAGAACAGTTTCCCCTTCTTCTTTTCTCCCTTAATAATATATAAATATATATATATATATTTATATATATATATATATATATATATATATATATATATATATATATATATATATATATATATATATATATATATATATATATATATATATATATATATATATATATATATAGATATAGATATATATATATATATATTCTGCTATTGTTTCGCAGTGGAAGCTATTAAAGTTCCACCACTTATATGGAACCATCAGGCCGTAATAGTCTTTAGAGAAGGAAGAAATATTTTATATAAGTGCAAGGAAGTGCTAGATAAATTATAATATTTGGACAGATGTCCAGAATTGAGAGTTGTCGTTTAAAAGAAGAGTACTATTCAGTAATTACGTTTGAGTTAAGTGAGTGTTGTTTATGTTAGATTTAAGTAAGTGTTGTTGCAGTGTTCTGTAAGTTATTGTGTTTTGTGTTTGTACTGTTCTAAACATTAAAGTTCTGTGTGTCATTTAATGCCTTCATTGGTTTGAATCTGTGTGTTCGTAAATAATTTGATTCTCAGTCTCGCTCAGTTCCAATCCTATTATGTTCTCTTTATATATCAGGTTCGCAACCTTTTCAATTTGTAATGTGTAACAAAACAACACCAAGTTTCAAGAATTTTCTAATAAATTTTTAGGTATAGCTCATTTTAAGTCATTTTAAGTCATAAAACTGAAAATAAATTAAATTGTTTCTCTGCAGAGATAAGAATAATCAGTTTAAATAATCAAAAGTTTATATCCATCTAAACAAGTTTTATAATTTGACATATCAAAGAAATTAAAAAGATTAATCTGGGATTTTCTAACCATGTTTTTTTGTTATAATTTTATATTTCTTTTAATAGACTATACAATATATAAAATATTATCAAATATTTCATTGAGTTCTTTATTTGTCTTGATATAATGTAGTAAAACACAGAATTAACTTTTCATGTCTATATTGATTTGTTTATTTCTTATATAGGAGGTAAAACACTCTATGCACATACTTGTTGTACAATACAAATTTTAATTGTTGCATAATCTGTTGCCATGAAACATAGAAACACAGCATTTCATTTGTAATTGAAACATACAAAGCTAAGCAATTTTCTGAAACAAACAATAAAAGAAAAAAAACAATTAATTTTATGTAGTGATGTACCAATGAAAAAAGCTAATCATGGCTAATAATAAGGCTAAATGTAAATGTATAACGGTAATGTATATGTATAACATTAATATATTAATATTAGGTATGTAATTTGAATGTATAACTTACTGTGCATCCTTGATATTATTACTGATATTATAATAATATTAAGGATGCACTTTACATCTTTAATATTAATAAATATCTTTTTATATATACATTAAAATCGTTTACTAGCTTTAATTATACTTTGCCATTATACCACTAATTTTATGGTTTTATAAGTTTGAAATATTTAAGTTTGTTCATTTCTTTGGCTGTTAAAATTTTCGAAATAAATTTTGAAATTTATTATTTTTTTTCAACTTGATTTTGCATTGAGCAAATTTATGAATCTTTTTAATTTAGGCATCTTTTTATACTTTTTCTGAATAAGTGTGATAAACTTCAAGATTTTTATAGCGTTTCATAAATTATTGTGAGCAGAATATATTAGTACTGCCCTAACCTAGTAACAAATAGTCACTTCAATCCAGTGTCAAAACGCTGCTACCATAACAGTATTATTATAGAGTGTAGATGTGTGTTTAGTATATCCTTTACAATAGATTTGCCCACCACATAATGACCACAACACTATCAAAAATCAATAACAAAACTATGTGATCGTAAAAGTACTACAAAATTAAAACATTGCATATAATAAAAAATAAATAAAAAATCAAACTTACCCATAGCTAGAAAAATGGGGGTTTGAAGAAGAGCACTAGATAGTTCATTGAGGGTTTTCTTTGCAGACAAAAAAATACTTTGTTCAACATCAACTTGAAATAAATCATAATCATGAGCTGCTTGATCACCTAAAAAAGAAAAAAAAAATTACTTACAAAGATGAAGAAAGATCCCTTACAAATAGCAACACTGCTATTGTTTAAACCTCTTTTTATCTTTTTCTCAAAATTCAGCATAGTTTAAAAAAAAACAAAAACATAATTTTCAATTTTATTTTATATGAGGATTTTTAATATTTTTACAGGTGATACTGAATGCCCAAATATTTACTATTGTTTTTGGATCATCAACAGACAGAATTAAAGACCTTTAAATTGCTCAAATTACATCTACTTTATGATTTATAAACATTTTTGTTTTTTTATTTTTATACTTAAATTTAAATATACAAAAACTTTTTTATTTTTTTATTTTATTAATTATTTAAATTGCATATTGCAAATACAGGCCTTGTTACAAGATTTCAGGCCTAAAGAAAATGTTAACAAATTTAACTTTAACTCAGATATTTATGTTGCTAAAAGTGCTGCACATTATATTTAAATTAATCTTAAACTGTATTAAAAATCATTTAAACTTTATAACTAGACTAACAAGACTTAAAAAAGTGTACTTCCTTTCATGAATACTATTTAATATCTGATTTACCTATAGTAATATCTTTATATACGTAAATTTTTTTTGTGTGTATGTCTTTTATATAGTTGGAGGTGTCTTTGTTACTGCGTTAGCTCACTTTAGTTTTACTTTATATGTATATTTGTATTCTGGCTAAACTTCTGGTGCGGTGTTCACTCACGTGAAAGTTACTTTATGAATGTTTGTGTTCTGTCTGATCTCTGGCGCTTTGTTCATTCACGTGTAAGTTACTTTATGTATGTTTGTGTTCTGTTTGAACTGATACGGTGTTATATGTTTGTGTTCTGTCCGAACTAGTACGGTGTTGGTTTACTTAACAGTTACTATATATGTGTATGTTTGTGTTCTTTCTAAACTTGCTTTCTCTTAGTGAGACTAATTTAAACTCTGCTGTTCCTTCTTCAGATCTCAGTGTTAAGATGTGATCAAATTGACAAAGCCATTTCTCTTTAGCCCTCTGCCAATATTGTTGTTATAGGTGATTTTAATGCTCATCGCACTAAATAACATTGCTCTAATGCCACTGATCCCACAGGCACCTAACTTCTGCAAAGATTGCATTCTGCATTTTCCTGAATTTCCTGAACCCTAATCATTTACCTTCACTTCCTGATTTGTGCCTTTTCTCTGACCCTAACTTGTGTTCAGTTTTAACTTTTCCTCCCTTAGGTGGTTCTGACCATACAATGATGTCTATAAATCTTTCATTTTGTACATCTTTGTATCATTCTTTGGACCCTATCAGAGGTTGGGCTCAAGAGCTTTTGAAAAATCTTCAACAGTGTCATTAACAAAGATAGGTCTCATGAAAGTAGAGAATTCCATTTCTACTTCATAGAACTGATCTTATTATGTCTCCTAAGGATAAGGCAGAACTATTTGCAAAGAACTTTTCCTCTAATTCGATTCTTGATTCTAATGGGCATATTCTTCTTGTCATTCCAGTTAAACAGGCTTACACATTGTTAGACATTTAAACAAGTCCAGCTTTTTTCTAAAATTGTTAGACATTCAAACAATTGTTAGACATCCAACCATTGCTAAAATCACATCTCAATTAAACTTTTTTATGGCTTGTGGTCCAGACAACAGGCTTGGGCAGGAATGGAGTGCGATCACGCTCTGTAACTGACCACGCTAATATTTTTTTTTCTTTACAACTTGACACAGCTATTTTGATGTTTTAACAATTTAAACGCAATAAAAAAAGTGTTACGTTATGAATAATTTTTAATTGTCAATCTTTTCTAAAGTTTTTATTTTACGTGAAGGCTTTAAATAAAACCATAAAAGCAATTATAATGATTGTTTACACAAATACATGTGTAAAATAATAAAAAAATGTTATATATAAATTTTTTTTTATGTGGGCATGTATTTTTTTATGATAAATTTAAATGTTTAAAAAAATTTTTAAACCATTATTTTTAAAAAAGAATTTTTTTTTAAGTTACTTTAATTTATGAATAAGCTTAAAACCTTTTGTGACTTTTTTGCTTTTGACATTTTATGTGAATTATACAAGAATATAAATAACTTTATTTACTTATATAAGCGTGTATTTTGTTGATTAATGGAGAAGTTTTGAAGAATTTTGTAACGATTTTGTAAACAAACATTTTATTTTTTGAAAAAATTTGTTGTTGTTTTTTTAAGTTATGATAGGAATGAATGAGTTTAAATAGTTTTTAAATTTGTTACGCAAAGCGCTTATTAATAAAGAATGCTCAAATTAAAATTAAATTGCTTGTTGGCAGTTTTTACATAAATCGCAGGTGCATTTTACTTATTTATTTTTTTCCTATTCTTACGAATAAAAAAAGTTAAAAACCTTTTAATTTCTAATTATTAAACTATTAAAAATTACTCCTTTAAAGAGACTATTTTTTTTTTGCAACTTTAGAATGTTTGATAAGATAAGTTTTACTATCATTTATTTCAAACATAATTAATAACATAACAAAAAGTTTTGCTTTGAGTTTGTTTTTATTTTTATTTTAGTGCTTATATAATTTCTTTTTCGTAAAGATTTTTTTTCCGTTTCTTCTTTCGTTAGAAATTTTTTTAAGGATAGTTTTTTTTTTTACTTTTTTCTAGTTTAAGTTTAGCTAAGCGTTTATACATTCAGCACATTTCTGAAATGTTTAAATCATCAAAACACATAAACAATCATGATCAAGTTGTCAAAAAATAAAATTATTTGCATGGTCAGCAATAGCTCTCAATCACACACCATTCCTGCCTAAGCCTGAACAACATTACTGTCACAGTCTTACAAAAGCATTTTCCAGAACTTTCCTCAATTCTCTCTAAACTATTGAATAAGTGCTTAACTGAACCTTGTTTTTCTGCCTGCTAAAAATGGCATCTGTGGTTCCAATTTTTAAAAACTTCAGAGAGCATTTTGATCTCTCCAATTATTGTTGGATCACTCTTCTTTCTGTTATTAGCAAGGTCTTAAAGTTTTTTAGCTACAAACTCTCACGCTTCACCTTGAGTTGAATAACTTACTGTCAGACAATCAATATGGTTTTCAATCTTCTGTGCATTAGCCTCTCTGAGCATTAGCCTCTTCGATCTTCTGTGCATTAGCCTCTCTGCCTCCATCTAATGCACACAAAAATTGAAGATGTTTTTGAGCATTAGAAGGAGACAGAGAGGCTAGGGCTATTCCTTATGACATATCTAAAGCTTTCGACAAAGTTTATCATACCTCCATAAACTTGCTTCATATGGTGTATCTGGGAATGTTTTTGAGACTATCAAATCATTTCTTTTTAACCACTTAATTAAATTCATCCTCAAAGGCTAATACTGTTATTTGATTCCAATAACTTCTGGGTTCTTCCAGTAACCCAGGGTTATTGGTATCCTTGGTCCTGTTTTGTTTTTTATTTACATTATTGATCTTCCTGACAAACATAATCTAATGCAGCTCTTTTTGCTGATGACTCAACTTTTTACTGCTGATTTGACAAAAAGTCTTTTCTTTTTGATCATTTAAAACAGAGAGTCGATCTTGAATTTGATCTCACTTCTGAAACAGATTTAGACCTGCAGTGACTTTTGAACTTAAACTTCAACAAAAATTACTTATTATATAAGTTATTTACTTCAAACAACTATCACAATACTGTAGACACTCCTATATCAATGAATGGCAACCCTCTCACTGAGTCCTTTTGGATTATTGTTCACTATTAACCTTCTATGGAAATCATATATACAACCAAAAAAGCGTAAACAACCTCTTTGCCAAGCTTGAGTCTCTCTTTCATAGTTATTCCACAGTTCTTCCACAGTTGTAAAGTTGCATCTCTTTCCCTTTTATACAAATACTATCATGATTGTTGCTTAAAGGAACTTCTCTATCTCTAAGAGTATGTTGCTTCAAAGGAACATCTTTATCTCTGGAACTATAATCTCTATCTCTATCATCTCTATCTCTATCTAAAGGAGCTATCATCTCTAGTTCTGTCAACTAAAACTCATTCTTGCTTGAGTTGTCATTCAGCAGTCTCATTCTTTTACTGTATCAGTCCCTGCATGCTCTCCCATCATCATGTTTTCCTGACTCATACAACCTACAACTTTTAAAGTCTTGTGTCAACCATTTGCTTGGTCTATAACTTTATTTTTTTTTTTTTTCTTCTATTAACTCCTAACTTGATAGTGGTTGCTTACAAACTTGTTGGGAGTGAATCAAAATAAAGAATACATATGTATAACAAAAATTACTGATGAAATCTGAATTCTGTATTTGACAAAGATCATATTTCCTCATAACTTATTTCTTAAAACAATCTTACACATAACATAACAATCTTATACTTTTTGCTTGCAATTTTTTTTTTTAACGTATTTAATGAATTATTTTTAATAAAAATAACAAACAATTTAAAGATAGACTCTATCAGTTGCTTTTTTTTAAACATCTTCACTTCCAACCACTATTAGAGTTGCAAAGTACTTAAAGAGAAAAGACGAAGTTTATAAAGCAAGATAACATATGACAGACAACTTAAAAAATTGCAAATTATATGAATCAGGAAAATAAGATAAAGGAAGCAAACTCCAAAGAACTGATGTTTGAGGAAAAAAATTAGATGAATAAGAGTATCATGAGCACTTAAGAAGTCACAGTAAAAAAAAATGTTACTTAATTGAATGACGAGTAACACAAGAATGAGTTTTAGGAAATAGCAAAAAAGACGTTAGCTCTTTAGAACAGCACCCATTAAAGTATTTATAGAAAAAAGAAAGAGAAGCAACATTACAACAATGTGATAGTGGTTAGAGTTTGGCTGCAAGAGCAGGTCTAACAACATTTACAATGCTTTTTTGCACCTTTGTCTAAAAGAAAAAGAGCATTATTTGAAGATTCGCTCCAGATACGGCAACAATATTCTATACAAGGACAAATTAGAGATTAGAATCTGGGGTAAGAAAGTGGCAAGCTCAATTAAGAGATGCAACCTTAGTAGATACTGAATTTCCAATAGATTTGTAATTTGCTTTCCAAGAAAGAATAAAGGGTAGATGACTTATCAAGTACTTCTAGATTGTTGTGATAAAAATTAGCTGAAAAAAAATTCAGTTTTATCTGAGTTAAAGTTTGCCAGCCACTGAGTGCTCCATGCAGAAGTGATATTTTTGTCAAGCTCAAATGCCCCCTCCAAACAATCAAAGAGTGTTGGCTTCTTATCAAGACAAGAATGAATGGTAGTATCATCAGCAAACAATGCCAACTTAGATGTAAGAATTTCTGAGAGATCATTAGTGTAGATTAAAAAGAGTATAGGGCCAAGAATAGAACCTTGAGGAAACCCTGAAGTTACAGGGAATGAAAAAGAGTGCTGATCATCGAGGAAAACTTTTATACTATGATTGGTAAGGAAGGGTTCAATAGTTTTAAAGGTGTTACCTGATACACTGTAAGAAAAGAGTTTTTAGATAAGACCAGCACACCAAATTTTATCAAAAGCTTTAGAAATGTTAAAAGCAATAGCTTTAACCTCTCCACATCTATCAAATGCAAGATAAAACCTTTTGGTTATTACTGTTAACAAACTAGCAGTAACCAGTAAGATATTCATAAACATAATTTATGCTCATAAATAAAACTAATGTCATAAGAACTTAACACAAAATTAAATTAATATAAAACATAATTTTAAATCTATTTGTGAAAAGAATTCTTTTAAACTAAAGCAGTTTTCTCTTCTAAATCAAAAAAAATAAAATAAAAATAAAAGTTTTTTAGTTGCTTTTACACATTTTAATCTATGTTATACATAATGTAAATCATTACGTAACAGATAGAAAAAAAAAAAATTTCTTCTTAAATAAATATTTGGGAACTATTTTGCATTCGTTCAAAACTAAATTTATGTTTTTGATTTTCAAATTCATATTCAATTTGAAAATCTTTTAATAAATTTGTTTCTTTAACAAAAAATTCACAATTGCTATCAAATGCTTTTTTTTACGACAATATTTTCTGAATAAACTTCATGTATATAATATCAAAACATAATTTAAATATTCCAAAAAATTTAAGTTTTTGCTCAACAAAAAATTGCAGAATGTGTACGCAAATCACTATTTCCAACATAAAATGTGAGCAATATAACGCTTCTTAACAAGGCCTGCAAATATACAGCATAATTTATTGCAAATTGAACATAAATTAATATAAATTTGTAAAATATCTCACCAGTTACGAGAATGAACTCGGCAGCATTTTTTATATTTGCATTAATCTTTTGCATTTCATTAGCAGTAGATTTCAATAATTCTAAAGATGTATCACACCCTGATCTTCCATATAAAGGTTCATATGGAGAAGATATCGGGTGAACAGTATCATTTTTTGTTTGTATGCTTCTACAAGAAGTGAGTGTTGATATTGACTTATTATAGTATATATCGAAATGGATATCACTTAGCCAAAAAAACACTATTGAATTAGCATTGCTTCTTTTAGAGCTGGATATTATTACTTGACAAGACTTTGAATGTATTAGCTTTAAAAGTAGTCCAACAGATAATACAATACACAAAAGAACTAAAGCTGCTATGACAATATATAATGAACAATTATTATTTCTGTAACTACGTAATTTTCGTTTTTCACCAACAAGAACCATTTCATTCTAAAGTAATAAAATTTTCATACTTTATTACAAACATTTTATAGATTTCTGAATGCTAAATTTTTTTATTTGATTTTCATTATTACAATTATTTATTTATTTTTATTGCTATCTTCATCTCACTGTGATAGAAAAAATCTTGATACAAGCAAAATACAATACACACAATCAAAAACCCATTAAAAGTAAGAACTAAAAAAACTATTTATATAATTATGCATATTATAAAATGTATTTTAAAAATTTACAAAAAAGATTCTTAAAACAATTTTAACAAAATGTTTCGGAGCAAAAATATGAATAGTAATAACAAATTGACACACAAAAAGGTCAATTTAGTATTTACTACTTTACTTTAATATAATAAATTTAAAAAACTTAAATTTAAATGCTATATATAATAATAAATAATCAAGATAAGATACTAGTTTTAACTGTATATTACTTTAAATTTAACTTTATATTTAAATTTTTGGAATAAGTACATTTTATAAAAATTAAATGTAACCTAATTAGTGCCTAACAGCTACGCAATTGCAAGGTAAAAATCATTTAGGGGATTACTTCAAAGTGAGTGATGTTGGCAAACCAATGTGCATACTATGCAAGAAGACTTTGTCCAGAGGCAGTTAAGATGCACACAAAATGTCCACAACAAATTTACAAAATCAACTAAAAAAGGGCATCACAATGTACACAGCATGATGATTGCTTCAACTAAGATTTTTAACAATAAAGCTACACCAGATCCAAGTCAAATGTCTAAATGACAGTTTTTCACTAGTTAAACAATTTGCTCAGAAAAGAGAAGCTCTGTTGAATTAGTGCAAATTTCTTGTGGCAAAACCAGAGGAAACTCAATTGAGCTCAGGTGTCTATTAACTCTATTAACTTATTAGTAATTACATGTAAATAAAGGTGGGAAAATAATGAGTAGAGGAGGTAAAAAGTAAAGGAGCAATTACCCCTAAGAAATAACAATTTTGAAAAAAAAATTAAAACAGTATTTTAATTTTATTTCATGATTATTTTTTCCGTGGTTTATGAGATATGATCATTTAAAATTTCTGATTATTTCAAAAATAAAAGTGTGTTGGTATCTGGGCAATTGTGCAGCATGCAGTCTCGATTTGTTAAGTCACATACAATAAATATCAAGGGGTCTCTACAGTTTGAATATCTGGTATTTTCAGCGCTAAATGTTTAGCATTCTGGTGGTACTCACAAACAGATACTGAATGGAAACTTAGAGCTCTTTTACAAACTTATGGTTTACAAAACTTAGAAAACCTAATCTTGATGTTAAAGGAAGTTTTAATAAACTCTAAATAAAGTTTTTTTATACCAACTAACAGAAGTTTTTTTAAAAAAATGTTGTCTTTGACCATCAACTTGAATTGAGACATACTGTTTTGCGCTTACAATGTAAATACATTGTAAGCGCACACCTTCTCTTTCTATTAATTCCTTAAAACATTAAACTTTCTTGATTTTAGTAAATTTTATTTCATGACAATTTTTATTGATTGCTTTTTCAATACAACATTGAATTAAATCTAACGATGCACTTGCCATTTATTTTTAATATTATATTTTTGTAATTATACTTTTTTTAAAAATAATAAAATTATTTTCTGAAAAAAATAAAATAAAATTTTTGAATTATAAACTAACATTTCAATGAGTTTTGGCACAACAAATAAAAAAGAAATGAAATATTTTATATATAAATATATAAAAAAAAACAACTCAATAACTTGTTTGTCTATTGGCAGGGAAGGAGGGGGGGGGGGTTGTACAAGAAATAAGTCTTGATTATTTAAAAACTTATTTCTTGTACTTATTATGAAATAGTTTTACATATATAGAACTTTGTATTACAATATATGATACAAACTAAAGTATTTAATATTATTAATTTCCCCATGAGTACCCACCCACCCATGAGTACCCACTATTTTTTTCTGAAATCACTGTAATTTTTCTGAAATCACTGTAAGTCTACTAAATCATTAGAAAAAAAAAAAATCCTATTAAAATCAATTTTGCTCTTAGGTTAATGATTGTTTAAAGTGAATTTCTTACGTTTTAGCCAGAGCCATTTTTAGAAGTCCATAATTTTTTTTACTGATTTGTATCTTGTCATTAAATATTTAAAAATTTGGAAGCCTTCCATTTATAGAACTTAAAAATATGTTTTTTCACTTCTTAAATTGCGATTTTGTATGTTGATCCATTAAAAATCAACTTTTTATATTTACAAATGATTTTTTAGGTAACAAAACTGTTGTTGATGAACTTAAAAAAAAAATTTAATAATCATTTTTAAAAATACAAGGATGTTGCTATAAAAATTGCAGCGATGCTTGATCTACGCTTTAAATTAAAATTTGTTTAAGAATTGAATTATAATATGATGAGGAAATTCTCTATCAATAGTACAACAGCTTTTATTTAGAGTTTTATTTACAACAAGCAAAAGAAGTTGACATTGATTCAGATGGCAATGAATCAGACATAGAAAAATCATGTAATTCAGACCCAGGTTTACAACTTCAAGAGTCTGACTCTGACCTTGATGGTTATGATGCTCCAGTTAAAAAGATAAAACTAATGAGACTGAATATACACAGCTTATTCCACCAAATTGTTGCAAATGAGAATGGCTCACAAAACACTGACAGAATTATATTGCTGTACATATTATTTATTAGAAAATAATCGCTGCTCTTTAACATGCATTATAAATAAAAAGTTTAACTTACGTTTTGTGCAAATTTTTGATGCAACTGTTTATTTTAACACGTTTATTCAAAACTTAATTTGAGTATATATATATATATATATATATATATATATATATATATATATATATATATATATATATATATATATATATATATATATATATATATATATATATATATATATTTAGGAAAGAAAACCAAAAAAACAATTGCAATAAAAACAAGCTATTTTTTTTTAAGAATAAATAAAACTTGAATATCGAACAATATTTAGAAATATTTTTAAAGAAATTTGACTGTCAAGTTAAACCCAAGCATTAACTTATATTTTAATAATCATAAAATATTTTATTAATCAGAATTAAGTTATATATTTTTCAAATAAATTTTTTTTTATTAGAATAAAATTCTATATTCTTTATTAAATTAGTTTTAAATTAAATCATATATTTTTATCAGAATAAAATTATACTATTACGATCTTTGCTTCAAACTTAAATTATTAGTGCTTTTCAAGTAAAAAAATCAATTATTATAAAGTTAAAAATTATAAAGTAAAAACAAAATAAAAATAAATTATAATATAAATAAAAGATGAAATAAAATTTTTTTATTATTAATTTATTTTTTATTATTAAATGAAAATTTAAGTAAATTTTTTTTATTGCAATAAAAAGTTGTATAAATATTTATATGCTTACAAAATGATATATAAAAGTTTTTATTATATAAATTTATTTCATGATTTTTTTTTTGCGTTTCATTCAATAGCATATCCAAAAAAAAATTTGTCGTTAACTATAAACAACATTGTTATCTGTTACTAAATATTTTCATAAAATAACAAGCTTAATAGAAATAAAGTTTTTGTAGTTTTTAATTTTATTTATTTTTTTATTTTTTAGTAAGTTTTACATGTTTTGTAACAAACTTTTTTACATATTTATCATTCAAAAGTTAACATGGTTTTTTATAAAATTAATTAATTCTTTTATCTTACCGCTAATAGAATAACTTAAGAGTTAAAAAATGATTAAAAGCAACTGTATAGATATAAGAGATTTGGCTTCTTCCACAACTTTGGCTTTGGCAGAAGCTACAACTTCAGCAAATTCTTGACTTTAGCACATCCCTACTAAATACTACTTCTGTGTCTAACACAAGAATGGCAATTTTAGTACCGAAAAACCATTTAACTTACATTACATAGAAAAATAAGTATAAAATTTTAAACTTTCAGGTTGGATTACTTACAGTAATCTGACCTGAAAATTTGTAAACCTAATGTAAGTTAAACATATGCTTAACTTACATTACTTATGTAATGTAAGTTAAACATATGTTTAACTTATATTACATATGTAATGTAAGTTAAACATGTTTAACTTACATTACATTACTTATGTTACTGTGCAATTATTAAAGAAGTTTTCTAGCAAAATCAGCTTATATCTTTGCGATGGAAAATATTAGTGAGCTGATAATTTACATATAATCAGTTTATTTAGGCTTGGTCGGGAAGCGGGTGCGATTGCACTCGATAATTGACCACGGGAATAATATTTAGTTGCGTAAAATCGGCCAGATTTTTTAGTCGTTTTGAGAACATTTCAAAAACAAACAAAAAAGCGCAACAAGATTAACTGAACCGTTGAGAGACAGTTAAAAAAAGAAAACAGTTTTTAACGCAAAAAAACTTTAAGCAAAAAAATATGATTAGAGCAAATATTTTTGAAACGTCATTCTTTTATATTTTTTTTATAAAATTAGGCAACATTTTTTATATAAAGTAACAACTTACTATTAATGATTGTTTAATAAGGAAACAAATGTTCTTTAATTTATCAACGAGTATAAAATTTTTATTTATATACTTATGTCATTTCCAGTGCTGGATTGAGAAGGTGGGGGAGAGGGGGATGGGGTAGAAGGGCTATAGCCCCGGGACTCACAATTTTAGAGGCCGCGAAATAGTCAAAAGGACCATTGGGTATTTTTTTTAGTCATTTTTACGCTGTGGCACAAATGTGTGTGGCACAAATGTGTGCACAAAAGTGGCATAAATGCCACTAAAATAATGCAGCTCGCGGCCCTGAAAAGATTCAACCAGTAAAACTAACTCTAGATGATTTATTTATAAATAAAAAGGTTTTTTTAATAACTGTTTTATGGTTCACGTAATTTGAAAAGTTTAACACATTTGAAACTATTCTTTTTAGTAAGATGAACAAATGAAATAATTAAATCATTGAG